CAGAAACGTGATGCATCCACAGGTCATGCCAAGTTCATGACATAGGTAATACCAAGTTCATATGTGGTTTCAGCTCGAAGACTGCGAACCAAGCAGATACTCAGAAACGCTATACGCCTATGAGCTCCTATGTGGAAAAAGGTTATGACCTATGTATTAAATTATGAAAGAATTAAATGATAAAAAAAAAAAAAAAACAACAATTGCATAACTCTTCTTGATCTTTCAACAATACTTACTTATGTAACCATAACATAATATAATCCAGAACATGGGATGTCTTAGTTTCTGCAGTTGTAGATTTACTTGAGATTAAAATAGGGAAAAGGTGTGAGATGGGTTGGCTTCAGTGCAACAGGAACTCCAAATAATGAGTTTGTTTTACCTTTAGTCACATAGTCGGGCCGTGTTGTGAGGCCTTTATGTGGAATCAGACGGCCTGTGGTGGGAATTTGGTGATCAAGTCACCATGAATTACCAAAAAAAATCTCATTTGTGTGCTCATTCTCACAGCACTTTGTGTGCTGTGATTTTAGCTGACTCTCTTTCTCCTCACATCCTTCAGGAAACTCTACTGGACCGATGGGGACACCATCAACATGGCCAACACTGACGGCAGCAACCGCAGCGTCCTCTTCAGCAACCAGAAAGGCCCTGTTGGTGAGTTGTATTCTCCAACTCTGTGTGACCACACCCGAGTGAAAGGGCACTACTCTGGGTGTCCCCTACTAAGGAGTTACATGCAGCAAATCTGTTTGGTGATTTTGACTTCATCCATCCTCGTTCACACTCATTAAGTCTGCATTAAGGTGACAGAAGAAGGTTGTTAGCTTCAAGTTAAAAAGGAAAACAGAGTAGCTGGATAAAAAACATGTATTTGTTTATAGTGGTGTCACAGATCACAAATCCCACTGTACAGATAGAATAACAGATTTTTCGTTCAAAATAGGCTATACATGTTGCTGCAATCCAACAATAACTGAAACAGTTAGAAAAACTTGAACTCCCTCTTTATTTTGTAAGGGCTTTTAAAATCTCAGCACAACAGACTGTAATACAAACAACTGTATCATTTTAAAAACAGTATTTGTTACCCCTTCCATCAAGGACATCAACTTTACAAACACCAAATAGAAATATTTGTGGAAACCAACTTGTTGTTATCTGCAGATGTCTTTTTTGTAATGTGTGTTTAGCTGGATTAGAATGAGCCTTGTTTCATTAGCAGGTGTTCGACTGTGAGATTCGAAGCTCTTTCAAACGAATCATAGAATATTCGATGTGGGCTCACCCCTAGCCACGACACTTAATCACTTTGCTTTTTCCAGGTCTCTCCATTGACTTCGACACAGAGCAGCTTTACTGGATTAGCTCAGGAAACAGCACCATAAACCGCTGCAAACTGGACGGCTCTGGACTGGAGGTGCTTGAGGGGGTAAAGGGCAAACTGACCAAAGCTACTGCTCTGGCAATCATGGGTAAGCCTCCAGAAAATCTTAAATTTAACCAATGAGTTCAGCCATGACAAATTACAACCGGTTTTGTTTCCTATGTGCCTTTAAATGTTTGCCATCCTGCCTTGTGTTGTATTCTTTAGGGGACAAGTTGTGGTGGGCGGACCAAGGAACTGACCAGATTGGAACCTGTGACAAGGAGGATGGTGGCAGCTGGAAAGTCCTGAGAAATAGCACATCCCCCATGATGCACATGAAAATCTACAACGAAACTGTACAGAGAGGTTGGCTTTTTTTGTGAGCCTATGCAACATTTGTTTTTTGTTAAATGACTAAGCCAAAGAATAAATAATAAATCAAATTTGCTTGCTGCGTGTAGCCTAGCCTGTTTATCTATTTCAAAGCACATCTGTTAATGTCTCTTTAACTCCTCTTTGATTTGCTTTGTTTATTTTTTTTTTCTTTGCTTTTGTGTTCCCAGGCACAAACCTATGCAGCAATAATAATGGAGACTGTTCCCAGCTGTGTCTCCCCACCTCCCCGACCACCAGAGCCTGCATGTGCACTGCAGGATACAGCTTGCGCACGGGGCAACAGTCCTGTGAGGGTATGTCACATACTACCTTCTTGAATTAGCTAAATTTGGAATCAAAAGAATTGATGGAAACTACAAATATGTAATGCAACACAACCTCGAAACTGCTCAGAACATGGGATTTATTTCTTTTTGTTTTCTGCAGGTGTTGGCTCTTTCCTGCTGTACTCTGTGCATGAAGGCATACGTGGAATTCCTTTGGACCCATCAGATAAGTCGGACGCTCTGGTACCAGTGTCTGGCACATCGTTGGCTGTGGGCATAGATTTCCATGCTGGTACATTTTTTCCCTCATTTGTGATTTTTTTTTTACCCTAGCATGAAGGTACCCAAGTTTTATCTTAAAATACCTCTTATATATTTAATAATTTATGCAAATTTCACAGACAACGACACTATCTACTGGGTGGACATGGGCCTGAGCACTATAAGCAGGGCCAAGAGGGACCAAACCTGGAGAGAGGACGTGGTCACGAATGGCATCGGTAGGGTGGAGGGCATCGCCGTCGACTGGATAGCAGGTAAGAGATTCCCCGAGACGTGGCATAAACACACCCGATCAAAACTGTGCAACCCAAACAGTGTAACTCATACATAAAGATGAGCTGTGCTTCACTTCGCATACTGTCAGCGTATCTATAATCATTAACCAGAGGAGGAGAGAGCGAAGGAAGATGAATCAGAAGCAATAAAAAAGGACCTTTTGTGCCAACTGTTAACAACAGTAAAGAGAAACATAAACAGACCCAGTAGGAAAAAAAGATCAAGGACTTTATTTTTTTTAAGGTCACGATATTTGTTATAGTGGCTGTCAAGCAGGTTAATATCTATTTGCTTAAAGGTAAACTCCCGCACAGTGTCTTAATTGCAAACAAACATTCACTGACAAAGTTCTAGTCCGTTTGTTTGCAAGTAAGACGGTGTGCATGAGTTTTTGATGGGACACGTTGCTCTCCTACACTCTCCTGTCTTATGAAATAAATGTTTGAAGCCTTTTTCTATTTTGAATATCTATATGAAAAAAATGCTAAGAATCTGCCATCAGATCATCAGCGTTTCTCGTCTATCCAATACAGGAAACATCTACTGGACAGACCAAGGCTTCGATGTGATTGAGGTGGCCAGACTGAATGGCTCCTTCCGTTATGTGGTGATATCGCAGGGCCTGGACAAACCTCGAGCCATCACTGTTCACCCTGAGAAAGGGTAAGAGGAAACAACTCTAGCTTTCCTTATTCTGCCTCTGTTCTTTTTTTTTTCATTATCAATTACTAACAGAGTTATCTATTTGCTTTGTGTGTGTGTGTGTGTGTGTGTGTGTGTGTGTGTGTGTGTGTGTGTGTGTGTGTGTGTGTGTGTGTGTGTGTGTGTGTGTGTGTGTGTGTGTGTGTGTGTGTGTGTGTGTGTGTGTGTGTGTGTGTGTGTGTGTGTGTGTGTGTGTGTGTGTGTGTGTGTGCGCAGCTATCTGTTCTGGACAGAGTGGGGCCAATACCCCCGTATCGAACGCTCTCGTCTGGATGGAACTCAGAGGGCCGTCCTGGTCAATGCTAGTATCAGCTGGCCCAACGGCATCTCCATTGACTACGAGGTGCAGTATAACAGACCACCCAAGCATTTCTTTCTCTGTATTAAAACGCAAACAGTGGGCGTTATCTGAACCACAACTGTTTGTGTGCATGAAGGAGAGTCTGCTGTACTGGTGTGACGCCAGAACGGACAAGATTGAGCGAATCAACCTGGAGACGGGAGAGAACAGGGAGGTGGTGCTGGCCAACAACAACATGGACATGTTCTCTGTGTCCGTGTTTGAAAGCTACATCTACTGGAGTGACAGGTCAGACACTGATAAATACTCTTTGAACTATTTGTGAATGGTATTCATCTGTAGTCTTAATATTTATCTCTTCTCTGTTTACATTTTTGTCTCTCTTCTTTTAACCAGGACTCATGCTAACGGCTCCATAAAGAGAGGAAGCAAGGACAACGCCACTGACTCTGTGTCCCTGAGGACCGGTATTGGAGTGCAGCTTAAAGATATCAAGGTTTTCAACAGGGCCAGACAGCAAGGTAAGCATGAGCGTGAGCGTAACGGTCACTTCATCAAAAGTCACTTAAAACATTTCACTTCCTAAATTCTACAGGTTCGATAATTATTTAATGTCATCTCCAGGAACAAACGTTTGTAAAGACAAAAATGGCGGGTGCCAGCAGCTCTGTCTTTACCGTGGCAACGCACAGCGCACGTGTGCCTGCGCCCATGGCATGCTTGCCGAAGACGGCTGTGGCTGCCGCGACTATGACGGTTACCTGCTCTACTCGGAACGCACCATACTAAAGAGTGTCCACCTGTCGGATGAAAACAACCTCAATGCGCCGATAAAACCCTTCGAGGACCCAGAGCACATGAAGAATGTCATAGCGCTCACCTTTGATTACCGAGGAGGGGGAGGAAAGGGTGCTAATCGAATATTCTTCAGTGATATTCACTTCGGCAACATCCAGCGGATCAGTGATGACGGATCAGACCGAAAAACTGTCGTAGAGAGTGAGTATTCCCACACATAACATCGTGTTAAGCTTTTATAATAGTCTTTCTTCATCCATCCACCTCCACATGATTTATTACCAACAATATATTCACTGTATTCCCACTCCCATAGTTGATAGTGGGCCTGTCATTAGTCATTTTTTGTTTCTTTACTTTTTTTTTTTATAACAAAGAACTTTCGTTGTAAACATCCGACCCCCCCCAATACTGTAAGTATTCACATAGAAGAAAACAGCTGCAGGCACCCATAACATTCCCACTGATCCAAACAGAAACAAGAAGACCCTATTCTGAAGCTGTTGCCAAAGCACAAAAAAACAAAAAGAACAAAAACCTTTTTTATCAGTGCTCGGAGAACACATTCATTCCTCCTATCTCAGCACAAGAACACACAGGTGCACTGTTAATGTTTTACCAAAGGGCCTTTACTTTAAACTGTTTACAAGAGATGCATGATTCAAGACTGTTTGTCCCGTGGTCTCTGTGGAGAAGCACATTCCAGGGCTACAGCTTGTAATAGTTTTATTGTGATTTAATCAGTTCCTGTTCAGTTAAATAAGAGTATAGTTCATAGTTTTACTGTCATGCAGGAGCCATGGCCACAGCCCCGCTGGCCCTTTGCCCTCTTCTCTTAAAGAGCCCCAGTAGATCTTGTCTGAATTTTTGGGACATCAGAACATAAAGGATTGGGTTCATCACTGTAGAAGAAGTAGCCATGAGGCGTGCGAAAACACTGAAGGGTCCATAACGTGGTGAGACGCCTGTGGCCCCTGTTCTTTTATCCGCCAATAATGCCAGCGTCAGGCCGTAGGACGGCAGCCAGCACACTGTGAAAGCCAGCACTAACATGGCCGACGTGTGGGTCACTTTGTTCTGGTAGCGCTCGACTTGAGGGGCTCTGCCGGCCTGCTGACTGAGCCACAGAAATATGTAGATTCTGCCGTATGCAGCTGCAATGGTAATCAGTGGAAGCAAGAAGGCCACGATGAAGTGAAACAATCCATAGATGAGCTGGTCTCGGTGGGAACTGAAAGAAAAGCAAGCAAGACCGTCGGGGGATTGTCGTGGGGTTCTCACAAAGCGAAAAACTAGCTGTGGAGCAGCCAGGCAGCAGGCGAGCACCCAAAGGAGCGCAGCAGCTACAGACACCCGTCGAGGGGAGAGCAGGCTGTGCGCTCTGGTAGGGTGCACCACAGTCAGGTAGCGAGACACAGCCAGCGTTGCCAGAGTGAAGACGCTGGCAGAGGAGCAGGCCGATCCCAAGAAGCCCACCAGACGACACATGACGTCCCCGAACGGCCATTGCTGCATCACTATGGCAACGGTGTGGAAGGGAAGCATAGAGAGCAGAAGCAGGTCTGCAGCACTCAGAGTGAGCAGGAGGGCATCTGTTCCTGTGCCTGTAAGGGAACGCTGAGAAGACTGTCCAGCCCTGCGTCTCCGCCTCCCACACAGGATCACCATCACCATCATGTGTCCTCCAACTCCCAGCAGAAGAATCAGAACATCTAATATCGGGACAAGGATCTGCTCCACATTGTTCTGTTCAGAGCCACTGCTGTTCCCAATTGGATCCTCTGCGTGTTTAGAGTTTCTCAGCAGCATCCTGTGTTTAGTAATGGATATGTCTCCCACTCAAGCTGCCACTGTTAACACCGTTTGCTTTGGGTTGGGTCAAATATGCCCAAGCAGGTCATAAAACTGCTGATAGTACATGTGGGAATAATAACTCATACAGGGCTTCATTAGCAGTTTTACACAGACATTCCATCACACTGATGTCACTTTTTCCCTTGATGATGTTAAAAATAAAGAATAAGTACTAAAGTACATTAATAAATACTTAAAAAACACACATTCACTTTGCTTCTTATATTGTGAACATATAGAATAAGGTTTCGTTCACTCCTGTAATTGTTTTACATAGTTGAGTTCAAGCCGCTGAAAATATTCTGTATGTGAATCCATTCCTGACCTTGCAATCAGGCCCGCCTCTGATTGGCTGAGGGTGGTAACGAGGCTGAAATAACATTAGATGTCTCTGTGGAAGTCAAGACCTCTTCTGATTTCTCTGCTGCTGGTGATTTCAACCCTCTCCCAGGACACAAGCGTTGAGGGCTAAATGCCCCCGATCGTGCGATTTCCTGTCACCTCAGTTACTCCACACGACATCTCAATCAGGCCTGTGCTCAGCGATCCACAATCAGCCTCTGAGGGACAGACCTCCCGAGAAACGCAATTGTTGCAGAGAGAGAAACGAGAGGCAAATACCTCGACAGTAGGAGACGATAAAACTGAGCTAAGTGGCAGGTGAACTCTGGACTGATTATCAGCGAGCTGGCAGGAGATGGGCTGGCCTTCTCTCTGTGGGAGGGCCTATTAAAGCCAAACATAGTTTTTATTTTCCCAGGGTCCAATGTTTATATTCACACTCTGAAAGGATACCTATGTTTTCTAAAAGTTTTGTCTAACACAAAAAAACCAGAACATACACAGATAAGGTTTACCGATGAGAGACAGGCGGGGTGGAATACTGTTTGCCTTCAGAAATCAGGGTAATTATTGACTGCCTGACTGATAGCGAAACGCTGAACTGCTGTCACTCCCACTGCAATAAAAAGTAAGTGTCAGTAAAACCAGCTGAGCTCAAGAGCTGTAATTCAGCTCATGTGTTATTTAGCTGTAAACAACAAGCCAAAAATGTACATGCACCAAGATAGGCTTTGGTCAACAAAGTGAAGACAAACAGAAGTGAAAAGCAAGAACGTGAGTGGAGAGTGCTTGAAGCCGGAGATTTACAATTCATTAACAGCTAACAAGGAAGAGGAAATAGGAGAGAATGGATTTCATGGGTCTTCTCATTGGTTTTCAGGGCATTGATTTACGAGTGCAAAAAGCAGAGACGTGGTTGTTGTTTTGCACTGCATGCCTTCACTCGGCTCGCCAGATGCTTTGCTTCATTCACAGCCTCTTAACACGAGCCAGACAAATGTTGATTCATGTCTGCCGGCCTGCTTCGCACTTGAGTTTTTGAGGTGTAGTGTTAAGTGTCCCACCTGGCAGTGAACCTCACTGATCCTGCGGCCTCAGCTGTGATAGAGTGAGATCACATTCATGCCTTGAAAGCTGCTAATCTGGGGACCTTCACTGTTCCTTTGCAGTCACAGTGTCAAAAGGCAAGTATTAGACTGATGTGTTTTCAAATTAAGTCTTAGTGTGTGCAAGTATTGTTTCTCTAAATTCCAGCAGCTGTTTCTTTCCTCCGCTACAGAACTTTATGTCCCCCCATTTTTGGCTGACTGTTGTCTGTCCTCTGGCCTCTGTGCAGGCAGGGAGCTTAGTTCAACACTGAAGGAGCAGAAAGAATGACTTTTATACTTCTCATCTGTTAATGAGGTAGTGCGATGGAAAATAATGCGATAGCCAGCAACTGTTAATGTGACCTTTTTAGTGAGCTATTTGCTGGATAAAAGCCTTGAATCACACTGTGTTCTTGGTCATTAATACCAAGCTGTCATGTCCGCAGCACTGACTCTGTGCTGAAACATAACAGTCTGCCAGCACTGAGCTGCTGAGAGAGAATCCACACTTGGCCTTTTAACACAGCGCTGAGACTGACGTGCTTTTTTCCTTCACTCTTTTCTCTCCTGTCTTCTCCCTCTGTTCCTTTTTTATCTGTATTCATCGCTATCTTTCTCCCCTGCCTCTTTTTCAGATGTGGGCTCGGTGGAGGGCTTGGCCTACCACAGGGGCTGGGATATGCTGTACTGGACCAGCTACACTACCTCAACCATCACCCGGCACACGGTGGATCAGAGCCGCTGGGGTGCTGTAGACCGGCACACCGTGGTCACCATGTCTGGAGACGACCACCCCAGAGCTTTTGTCCTTGATGAGTGTCAGAGGTTAGAATAAATTCATTAAATCAGAGCACACCTACCTTTCATTCACAACATCTCAACATGTGTACATCACTGATCTGCATTCTCTTCTGCAGCCTCATGTTCTGGACCAACTGGAACGAGCAGTCTCCCAGTATCATGCGTGCCACCCTCACTGGTTCCAATGTTCTGGTCATCATAGGCAATGACATCAGAACCCCCAATGGCCTCGCTATTGACCACCGTGCAGAAAAATTGTATTTCTCTGACGCCACGCTGGACAAGATAGAACGCTGCGAGTATGACGGAACCAGGCGCTATGTGAGTGATGCTCCCATGCAGACACACGTGGTTGGCACGCATATCAAGCTGCGGAGAAATACTTCTTCTGCAGCATGATTGTAATATGATGTTGCCTAATAACTGCTATCAGTTGTGTTTATTCTTAAAAGTTTGTTGCAAATATGTAATATTCTGAATATATGAGATCATGTCTGTGCTTGTGTCTCCCCCTGCAGGTGGTATTGAAGAATGAGCCAGTTCACCCGTTTGGCCTGTCTGTGTACGGGGACTACATCTTCTGGACAGACTGGGTGAGGAGGGCTGTGCTCCGGGCCGACAAATACACAGGAGGAGATATGAAGGTGCTGCGAGCCGATATTCCCCAGCAGCCAATGGGCATTGTTGCTGTGGCCAACGACACCAACAGCTGTGAGTAGCAGTTTTTGATAATCTGTTGCGCGTGTATGCGTTTGTGTGTGTGTGTGTGTGTGTGTGTGTGTGTGTGTGTGTGTCATAACTATTGTCTAAGAAATTCTGTGACTAAAAAAGGGTATTGTTGGCGGGAATGATAAAATCCTTCATTACAGCACTGTTTCAGACTTGTATAGCACTTTTCTAAGAACATTAAAGTAACACAAAATGCTTTACATAAACAACAGATCTTAAGGTTGAACGTAAAAATGTAAGATAGCAAATTAAGATGATGTCATACATTATATAGTAAAACACAAAAAGATCATCTAGAAGAATACAATATAAAAATTGGATGTATAAATCAATAAAATGTTTTATAAATAAATTTAAAAAAGTTCCACTACATTAAATTTAATTAAAAAATAAACTAAAATGATAGGTGACCCGTTTGCATTTATGAATATTGACATCTTGCATGAATGTTAAATTAATTTTAAAACTTTAAAAATAATTAATTGAGGGACAAAAATCTATTATGAAATATTGAAGGGAGTAAAATACAAAGTGGAAGCATTTATTTTCATATGTGCCAAAAAACACTTAAAAAGATCACATTGAAAAAATTGATTAATCAAAAATTAACAGTAAATGTTTGAAATGTATTGTCAATTTTAAATGTAAAACATTATGTTATCTCATATAACTTAAAATTTACCAAGATCACTATGGAGCTTATAGATTGGACACATTTTTTTATGTTTATGATGTGTTCTGTTTAGTGAACTTTAACAATACAAATCACCATTCCTTGGTAGTAACATGAAATTAAAAATTCACTGAAAAGTTTTTAAATAGCCTCTGTTTCAGTTGAGAGTTGCACTGAAACAATCACAAACTGAAAACACATGAACAAGGCAGCTTTTCTGACCCGACAGAGCAGATAATGAAATGACAGGAGTGATATAGCAGATGCACTGCATACACTCCAAACTTTCTTTCTTCACCTCACCTTGTTCCCAGCTTAGTGTTTGTATTCTACCCTGCATTTTATTTTCTTCCATATCGACAGCCATCTTCTCCCTCAAGTTGCCTCCTTCGTACTCGCTTACGCTCCAATACCCAGAGCAACCATACAAGCTGAGAGTCCGCAGTCATAGCTGCAAATCCCATTTAGATTGAGTCATATTGAATTATGCATTGAGCAGAGGCACATAAGTGTATCTGTCCGTCTGCTGATGTGGATACCCGTGTGTGTGTGTGTGTGTGTGTGTGTGTGTGTGTGTGTGTGTGTGTGTGTGTGTGTGTGTGTGTGTGTGTGTGTGTGTGTGTGTGTGTGTGTGTGTGTGTGTGTGTGTGTGTGTGTGTGTGTGTGTGTGTGTGTGTGTGTGTGTGTGTGTGTGTGTGTGTGTGTGTGTGGCTAACCTCCCCTGACTCTCCTCATCTCTGCATAGGTGAGTTCTCTCTGTGCCGTGTCAACAACGGCGGATGTCAGGACCTGTGTTTGCTGACCTCTGAGGGAAGGGTCAACTGCAGTTGCCGTGGCGACAGGAAGCTTTTGGAAGACAATACATGCATAGGTAATAATACATGGCAGGGAATTAAAAAAAAAAAAAGTTCTTCAGAAGGAATAGATATTATATACAATACATATACAATAGATATTGTAGTAAAGTTTTTTTAATTGAATATGCAGATACTGGTGTGTGTAAATAAACTTTTTGTTAAGCTAATCACAATCTACTAAAGTTAAAAGATAGAACTAAGATTAGGTGTGGAATGGATTAGGAGTACTACCAATTTTCCATGCCGATAGCCTCGTTGAAGGAAACTATTCTGTTTGTGCCTCATAGCTCTCAACACAACATGCAACAACATTGATGAGTTCGAGTGTGGAAACGGAGACTGCGTTAACTACACACTGACTTGTGACGGCATGGCCCACTGCAAGGACAAGTCTGATGAGAAACAGTCCTACTGTGGTGAGTTTTAATAAACAGTGTCAGTAATGTTCGTTTTGTTGACACTTGTTCATTGACTCTGTATCTCTTCATGTGCGGTTCTCAGCAAACCGTGTGTGTAAGAAGGGTTACAGGCGGTGTGTGAACAGCCGCTGTGTGGGGCACAGCTCCTGGTGCAACGGGCAGGACGACTGTGGAGACAATTCTGATGAAGTCTTTTGTAACTGTGAGTCAAGTCTAATGATTAAACAGGTTGTTCACACCTGAGGTCTTGTGATATTTTCAAAAGAAGGTCCTCCTAAATGACTCCTTTGTTTCTGTTTAACAGCCACACTGTGCTCAGCTGATCAGTTCCAGTGCAGAGACGGAGGCTGCATCTCCAACTCCAGCAAATGTGACCAGAAAGTGGACTGTGCAGACGCCAGTGATGAGATGAACTGCAGTAAGTTCAAAATGATCCACTTTTTTTCCCCACTATATCACCTTCTCCCAGACTTCAGTAAAATAAAAAGTCACGCTGCTCTCTTTGTTAAGCTGCCACGGACTGTTCCAGCTACTTCCACCTGGGAGTGAAGGGAGTGACATTTCAGAAGTGTGAGTTCACCACACTCTGCTATGCTCCCTCATGGCTGTGTGATGGAGCTAACGACTGTGGAGACTTCTCAGATGAAAGAAACTGCCCAGGTATTTTATCCCCTCCTGGAATACACATGACTTGATTTTTCTTAAAGTACATGCAATAGTCAAGAAAATAATTGAAATGATGGGTTTCACAGAATTATAGGAGCAAT